CGCTCTCAGGCATTGCTGCAGCAGTGCCCAGGAGCAGGGCAGCCCGCAGGGGTGGGGATCAGCTCTGGGCAGAGGTGTCTCTCTGACGTGGGATGGCATCCTCAGGCAGTGATGCCACACGTTCATTTTTGGGGGGATTTCTCTGCTTTGGGGCATTATTGCCTCCACGCTTGTCCTCTGTCACCCCAAGAGCACTTTTAATTTTATTTTTCCATGCCTTCATTTTTTTCATGAAGAACCACCTACATTTTTCTCTTAGAAGATAAATACTTGAGAAGCGAAACGGCTCTTCCTGTGCCCGTAAACGGTGCAAAGCTCAGCCATTTCCCCACAGAGCTGAACTTAAAAACAATAAGCCTTGTTGCTGAAAGCCAGCAGCAGCAGCAGTGGGACCCGGTGCTGAGCATCTGCAGCTCTTCTAGGGATAATGAGGCTCTCATACCAACAGAGCACCAGGCCACATCCCAGATCTGCAACCATCAGTTCGTCGAGGCTTCTAAAATTATTGAAGTTATTTCCCTGTATTTGTCCTCCCTTGTTGCTATTTGCATGCAGCTTTCTCTGGGAGTATGGATACTCCCCTCCACAGGCAATGCAGGATGAGGAATAACTGCATCAGTGTAGGCTGGGGGCTGCTGGAGAAGGACCTGGGTGTCCTGGTAGCCAATGATTGACCAGCAGTTCACCAATGGTTGACCAACAATTGACCATGAGTGAACAGTGTGCCCTTGTGGCCAAGAAGGCCAATGGTGCCCTGGGATGCATGGCATAGAGCATGGCCAGCAAGGGAGCGGGGGGGTCTGCACAGGTTGGCACATCTGGAGCACGGGGCTCCCCAGCTGCAGGCAGGTGGGAAACTGCTGGAGAGAGTCCAGAGACTCTGAGGTGAGGGTTGGATTGGGGGGGATGTGCAGATTCCTGCCCCTGTGCCCTTCCTGCCCCTGTGGTTCTGTGACTCTGTGATGCTGTGTGTGCCATGAGATGGGGACAGGATTGGGGCAGTCCCCACGGGCGCCAACTCCCATGGGGCGACGTGGCCCTGCTGACACCAAAGCTGCCGGGGTGAGGGCAGTGCTGACGTGGGTGTCTTTAACTTTCCCTTCTTCCTTTCTGTTGTGGCAGTGGTGACTGCAGCAAAAGTGAGAAAAGAGAAAAAAAAAAAACAGCACTGTGAGGAGAAATGAACAGATGCTGCTGGCCCCAGCGCTTGCAGAACAGGGTCTCATTGCAAAGTCTGCCCCCCGATGGAGGCTGGGTTAGGTTTATTCACATTGCCCCAAACTGGGAGGTTTGCTCAGGATGCAGAGGTGCCCTGAAGCTGTGCAGAGCTCTCCAGGTCCCATACCTGAAAGCCCCGAAACACAGCCCTGAGCCCCACATCAGTGATCCCACCCTGCAGGATGCTCCCAGCCCCCTTTGCTGATTTGAGCAGGTGTTTGGATACGGGGCAGAGGGCAGAGCAGTGCTGGCTCGCTGCAGCCTGACCTGCTGCCTCTGGCTCTGCGGCACAGTGACTAATTCTGCAGAGAAAAGGAATTAATTCCTCATTGAATCAGCAGCAGCGAACTCCGTAGGTTTTGTTTTGCATAGCCAAGGCGTAGACTCATCTCTCTCTCTGAGAAGTGACGTCGAAGCCAACACACAGGGCTGCTCCCGGCTGCAGCCCTCAGCACTGCTCCCCCCCTCGCTTTGCTGGGAGCGGTTTCTTGGTGCTGATGCACATAGATGGGGATGCCCAGACCCCGGTGCACCCCAAGCACCAGGCCCTGGCCAGGCCCCACACTGCACAGCTTTGTCATTTCACTCTTTTTGGGGCCAGCAGTGTGGGACTGTTTGAAAGTGCTGTGAGTGATCTGGCCCCACTGTGGCTCCGCTCCCCCCCGGTGCTGCAAACCACAGCGCTCCGGGTGCTGCGCTGCAGGGTCGGGTCCTGTGCACCCCTGGGTGCTGCCAGCCGGGCGAGCAGGGGCACTGTGGGGGGTCAGCCCCCTCCTGCAGCTCCCAAAGTGTATGTGGTCCCCAATATGAATAGGGTCCACTGTGTACCTGTGTGCATAGAGCATCTTGTGCTTTTGCGGCCCCTGCATGAGTGTTGTCCCCCAGTGTTCACGGGGTCCTCTCCATGCACTGGGTCTATTAAGAGCACATCTTCCCCACTGCACATGGAGTCCACGGTGTCTCTCTTGTGTTCCAGGTCCCCTTTGTGTAAGGGTCCCCCATGCCTGTGAGGTTCCCTACATTCCCAATGGGAGGGGTCGTTCCTAGGAAGGATGCTTTGTGCCTTTGTGCAACAGTGCTGATCAAGATCGGCCTTGTGAGATGAGCTCCTGTGTTTGGTCTGTGTGATCTGCTCCTCTTTAACACGCTCACTCCGAGCACTGTCTGCTCTTTTCTCTCTTTCTGTTTTAACAAACGATGGGAAGGGAGCAGTGGGGACACCTCTGTGCAGTGCAGTGCTAGGCTGAGACCTGGCTGCTCAGTGGGCGACCACCAAAGTCCATCCAGAGCTCTTCATTCCTTTGGCACCACATGGTGGGAGATCACCGGGTTGTGCTGCTTTGGTTTAGTTCTGATTTGTCTTCTACCCAAAAATTAACCCAAAATCTTGCCCAGTGCCAGCCCTGAGGCAGCAGATGCTGGGATGCTTACAGCTGTAGCAAGGTGTGCTTTACCCAGCTTCACCAAAAATTCACTTCTTTTCTTCTCCTAAACTAACCCAAGCAGAAAACCATCTGTGTATTTTTTCTAATATTTTCACAGCTAAAACCAATATTCTTTGTATTATAGCCCATGAAAATTCTCAGTATTGGCCATTTCCCACTAATTCTGGGTTTTAATCATAGAACCATAGAATCATGGCTTGGTTTGGGTTGGAAGAGCCCTCCAAAGGCCACCTGGTCTCTCTGCCCACTATGAGCAATGAGCACCCACAGCAATGAGCCCCCCAGTCTGACCTGGGCTGTGAGCAGGGATGGGGACCACCGCCTCTCCGGGCAGCCTGTGCCTCACTGCCCTTATGTAACAAACATATTCCTTGTATCCTATACCAATCTTCCCTTTCCTAGTCTGAAACCATTTCCTATTTGATCTCTGCTGCATTTTTCTGGCATTAGCTCCAAACTTTAGATTCTTGCAAGGCAGCAAAGTGTTCATTCCTGTGTACTGTGGTGAAACATCTCCATCTTAAACAATGAGTCAAAACACCTGCTGCCATGAGGTGCTTTCCAGAAAACTTCTGGTTACAACAAATCACCGTTTGTCTAATGAAAAAGCTTCATTTTATTAAAAAAAAAGATGAATTCTGAATAGTTCTGCTCAGCCAGAAGCGAGTTCTTCCACTCACCTCGAGCCTCCATCACAATCAGATATCTGCATGTAAGCAGTGAGGTCTCCTCATTTTGCCTTGCCAGCAATTAGTCCCTCTTAACAATTAGCACGGCTGCGTTGTCTGCTTGCTCATCAGATACTGAAGCCACTTTTCTGCTGCAAAGTGGGAGCTGCCTCCTCACGGCCCTTCCTCTTTGCATTCAGTGAGTCCCACCAGGGCGATGGGCAGCAGCTCCATGCCTGCACAGTGCTGGGTAATGTGAGGAGCCTGGGCACCTCAGGGACTTGCTGGTACCTTGGATACCTGGTGGTACCACAGTGACCTGGTGGCACTGCAGGACCAGGTGGCTTGTGCTGGGAGGGGCACAGTCACTGCTGTATCCCAGCACATGCAGGCAACATGCACCTGGTTCACATCAGGAGTTGGGGTTCTCACGCACTCTTAAATACCTCCAAACCTGCAGCTCTTGATTTTTATTTGCACGAGCAAAGCCAGGTGGAGGATGGCATCCCCAACCCGCCCCGTCCCTCCCATTGCAGGGTTCCTCCTGGTGCCAACAGGGCTGCACACTGCTCTGTGTGAGCAAAATCATGACCCAAGTGAAAGGCAGCGGTGAATCAACCCAGAGGTCTGAGATGAGCTGTCAGAAAGCAGGAGTGGTGCTCTGGAGGTGCCCCAATGGGACAAGAGCTGAGCTGAACGGCTGCCAGCCTCCTCTCATCTCCTCCCAGTGCAGTGCTGCCATTCCTGGTTCTCCTTCTGGAGTTATCTGGGACAAATGGTATTTGTTGTGCTACCAGGGTGAAGACAGTCTGGGTTTAAAGGCACTCCTGGGCAAAATGGGGCATGCAGGGAGCAGTGTGGGGTGCTGCAGGTGAGACAGCTGTGTGCACATGTGTGCATGGCTGTGTGCACACGTGTGTGCATGGATAGGGGTGTGCATGGGTGTGTGCGTGGATTTGTGCCTGGATGTGTGTGTGGATAGGTGTGTCCATGGGTGTGTGCATAGATAGGTTAGTGTGTGAGTGTGTGCACAGGATTTGTGCAGGATTTGCACACAGTTGTGTGCATAGATGTGGGCATGGATTTGTGAGTGGGTACGTGCGTGGATGTGTGCACTGATAAGTGCATGTGTGTGCACAGGTGTGTGTGCATGTGTGTGCACAGTGCTCACAGCTGTGCAGCCCTTCAGGCCGGGTCACTGCTGTGTCACACAGTGGTACCACATTGTGCAGCAGGGGCTGCTGGCCCCCCTGGCCCTGTCCTGCTAGCAGGAGCAGCTGCAAAGGCCTGAGCACAGTTTTCAGAGTGAATGTGCAGGATGTGAAAGTCCAGCTTCAGACCAAAGCAACACATGGGACTGTGTGGGGGAGGAGAGGGGGAGAGGGCAGAAAACTGGAGCAGTGCATTAGGTGACACGCTGTTAGCATTCATCCAGGGATAAATGACACTGGAGATGGATTAGAAAAAAGTGACAATTCTTGATCTTGATGGCTTCGTGTTATTTGGGCTGATCTGCAATCTCCATCAGCTGTTGCTGCTGCTTAATTCGGGGCTTCTCTTGCAGGATGTGTCTGTTTGAGTAAAGAAGGACAGTGGCTGCCCTGGGGTTGCTTCAGCCCTCCTTCCAGCAGCACAGCCCAAAGCCTCACCCCCTCCTTCTCTTTTGCAGTCCAACAAAGTTCCTGTCGTGCAGCCGTCCCATGGAGTGCACCCGCTCACGCCGCTCATTCCCTACAGCAACGACCACTTCAGCCACGGTTCCCACTCACCCCATCTGCCCGCTGACATCAGCCAGAAGCAAGGTAACCCAAATTGCTCATCAGTGGGTTCAGAGCACCGGGCACTGCTCGGGGTAGGGCTCATGGAGCTCCATCTGGGGCTGACACTGCAGCAGGACGGCCACAGCGGCCGCACGAGCCGAAAGCCAGAGCGGAGCCCACAGGGCGATGTGTGAGAGTCAACCAGAAAATGGAAAGTTGTCTTTCCTTTGACTCATACCCAAACTGCTGTCAGGTTGTCATTTTGAGAAAATAAATGCTTGAAACAGGAAATATTTTGACTAAATATGATCGGTGTCTGAGTGCTGGGTGGACCTGAGTGTGCGTGTCCGGCACGCGCCAACCCCCAGCGGGGCTGCAGAGGAAAGTACAGCACAGATAGGTCAGACCTGAGCTGTGCACTGGGGAGCTCGCCCCTCACCACCTCTTCTTCTGGGCTGCGGGTGAAATCAAACCTTCCTCAGCCTCCTGCCCGAACCTCCTGCCCTGCAAGTCTGTTTGAATCACTCAGATGTTTGCAGAGAGCTGGTCTGGGGTTCAGGTGGCAGTGAGGGCGTTCACAGCACTGGGTCTGTGTATTCTAGGAGGGATGGGGGGCTCATCAGAGCCCGCAGTGCTGCTGAGTCCAACACCTGAGTGTCATAAATACGGCAGGAAAACACAAGGAGTTAACAGATCTATTGGCAATTTGCTCAGCAAATGGCAGATTTCAGCACTTGGAAAGGAAGCCTGCAGATTTCCAGGTTAGAGAGGCAGAGATCCCACAGGTGGGAGAGGACTGGAGGTTTGGGCTTCGTTCCTCTCTGAGCTGTGTCCTAACCAAGTGCAGCTATGGGAAAATTCTCACACTAAGTCACATTTTCCCTTTGGCTCAGTTATATATCAAGTTCAGTTAGCACCTACTGAGATATTTGGAACCCAGTGATGTAATTCCTAAATACTTATTTATCATTAATTCTGTGAATATCCCAGATCTCTGGGTCTGTGCTTTGCTGCAGCTCTTCACCCATGCAGTAAAGCAGGGTGGTGCCCAAGCAGCTGCTGGGCAGCCCCAGCACGGGGTTGGTTTCAGCTGCTCCAGGCTGGAAAGATGAGACATGGGGTTGGCCCCAGAGCAGGGCAGAGAGCAGCAAGACTGCAGAAAAATTAAACTGTGAAGTATCCCTGCTAGATATCAGAGCTAGCACTGATGCTGCTGGAGCATCCCCCAGTGGAAGGGCCTCAATGGAGCATCCCCGCTGGTTGCTTTCGGACTCCTGGTGCTGACTGATTGGCTGGGGGCTGTAGGAACAGCGTTGCATTTCCATGTGCATTCCCCACTGCCCAGCAGTGCCTGCAGAGGAGCAGATGGGGCTGGGAGGGCTCATTTCAGTGCTGTCTCCATCTCACCTCCTTCTCCCTTCTCCCAGCAGTGCATCGGCCTTCCCAGACCTCCGACATCCCCGGCTTCTACCCGCTCCCCCCGGCTGGGGTCGGCCAGATCACGCCCTCCATGGGATGGTGAGTGCAGGGATGCACAGGGTCAGCTCTGAGAGCCCCCCTGTGCCCCCTTCACGTGCTGAGCAATGGGGAGGGGGATTCATTCCATGTGGGATGGGGGGCTGCGGTGTTGCAGGACGGCTGTGAGGTTGTGCTGTGGCTCTGTGTGCATCTGGGATGGTGCTACCTCTGCCTGCATGAGGAGGTGGGCAGAGAGCGGGCGGCTTCCATGCAGCTGGTGATGGAGGGTGCCATGGAGACATCAGGTTGGATGTTAGGAACAGTTTCTTCTTCAAAAGAGTGGTCAGACACTGGCACAAGCTGCCCAGGGAGTGGAGGTGTTCCAGAACTGTGGCACTTGGGGACAGCCAGTGGTGGTCAGTGGTATGGTGGGGTGGGGTTGGACTTGGGGATCTGAGAGATCTTTTCCAACCTGAATGATCCTATGGTTCTGGAGACGTCCAGGTGTGAAAGCATGTTGCCAAACGTGAAAACACAAAGTGAAATCTTTTTTTTTTTTTTCTTTTTGGTTAGTTTATGAATTTCATATTCCAGTTATATAACCACAAGGAAACAGAGGCTGAGGCTTCTGATACAGAGTTCGGCTTCAAAGAGATGGCATTTTGCTTTCTGTGCTAAATGTGCTCCTCTTGGGTGATGACTTAACGCCTCGTACGATGTGATTCATCCTCAGGAGGAACAGGCACTGCTGTGAGTGTGCTGTACAAAGCATGCATGTGGCTGGAGTGAGGCAGGAGCAAAGTCTCCGTGCAGAGCTGGGTGCTGAGGACATGGCAGCTGCAGCAGGAGCTGCTTGCTGGCAGCACACGCTGTGCCTGGCGCCTGCAGCAGGTGTGCTGGTGGCAGCTGATAGGGACAGGGAGCAGCAAAAGGCAGCCAGCCTGGTGAAGCAGCAGTGCATCCCAAAGTGTGCTGTCTAGAAGAGCTTTTCCCCTTACTCTTGCCTGCCCAAAATTCATGGAAGGAGCCCCAGAGCACTCAGAGCCAGGGCTGAGATGGGGACAGGAGGGAAGCACACACAGCCAGGGGCTTCTGTCCTACCCTTCGCCCCCAGTGGGGACAAGAGCCTGGTGACAGTCTCCTGAGGACAGTGGGATGCGGGCAAGCTACTACATCCCATACATCCCACTCCATTTCCCATGCACTGCTCCCACCACCAGGGCATCCTGTGCTGTGGCTGCAGCTCTGCAGGGCAGAAACCCTGCGAAGCCCCTCTACAGTGCATCAGGGCCATGATTACAACCCACCCCATGACACCAGGAAGCTCTGGGTTCTTTGGGCTGGAAGGAGCTGGTGCCATTTGTAGGGCAGTGCTGCATGCCACAGCAGAGCAACACCGGTGTGGCTGCACTTCAGGGTTCAGCGCTTTGGGGTTCAGCCATCCCGTCTCGCCCTCCCCAGGTGTCTGGGTTTCCACGTGTGGTTTTGGGCTGGGAGCATCTCCTGGCAGCCCGACAGAGCACACCGAGGTGTGTTGGAGCTATCTCCATATGAAAACACGGGGGCTTTCCCCTGCTGAGAGCAACCAGGAACTTCCTTCAGGTTTATTTGACTATCTTCAAAACAATTCCCAGCTCCAGGTCTGGTGCGTGCCCGATTCCCACTACGAAACAACTTTAAAAAGAAGCACAGGACCCGGCTTTGGGCTTGTTTGCAAACAGAGGCAAACCTCTGGGGGCAGTGCGGGGTGGAGGAGCTGCATCCCCTTGGGGCCAAGGCAGAGAGGTGCTGAGCAGCCATCAGCTTTTTGGCCAAACGGTGCTTTCTTATTTTTTAAGCAGTTTATTCTGTGCGGTAGCAGTATTTCTTCTGCCCACCTCCGTGTTCAGCACTGCAACAGGATACAAGATAGTTTCTGAAAGAGGGGGGTGGAGGGGAGTCAGGTGTGGATCCAACCTCGACAGGGAGCTCCCTAAGCAAACCCCAAACCCCGCAGTGCCCAGAGCAGCACAGAGCGAGGGCACCGAGCCCCCACCGGGACCCCACTGCTCCGAGCCCCACTAGCAAAGGGGATCTTTAGGAAACAGCCACGCAGCTGTGGATACTTGATAGACTCTTTCTTCCCGATCCCAGGCAGAGCCAGTCTGTCTATCCGCTCCCGTCATGTGGATTTAGACAGCCGTATTCGTCAGCGCTTTCTGCTGGGGCTTCTTTCTCCAGGTGAGTATGTGGGGCCGGGAGCGGCTCGATGCCCACAGCTTGCAGTGTGTGCGGGAGCAGCTTGCAGCCCAGCGAGTCAGGGCAGTGCCCGGATGCCCCCGGGAGCAGCGAGCGGCCAGGGAGGATGCTCAGCAACTGGGTTGTCATCAGCACAGGTCAAAAAAGCAAAGCCAGAGAGCCCTGCCTTCAGTGCAGCACTGGAAAAAGGGGTGAAACCCATCGCTCCTCGTCTCTGACCATGGTGTTGTGCGCACCGCCGAGTTTTGCTTTGCAGAGAGCAGTGCATTTTCCTTGATTTCAGCCTCAGAAGCAGGACAGGCAGCAGGCAGCTGCTGGCATCGCATCTAAACAAGTCTGAAGTCTGCAGCTGATACGCAGCCCATGCCTGCCCCGTGCTGCCCTGTTCCCACTCCAGTCCCATGCAGGGTTGGGGCTGCTTTGTGCTCCTGCAGCATCGCCAGCTCCGAGGAGCGAGCGCAATCCTGCACCGTCTGCATCTCTGCTGCTCTGTTCTCCATAGTTTGTCTGCTTTGTGGTTACATGTACCCCAGCCCCACTGATGTCCCAGGGAGCAAAATGCATCTCATAACTGGGGATCTCAGAGCCTGGTACCTTGGGGTTTGCTGATGGGCAGGGCAATGGCGTGCCCCTGCTCCGGCTGCTCCCGCACCAGCTTTGCTTCTGCTTCATGTTGTCCTGAAGTCAGCAAAGGATTCCCACAGAAAAACTATGCAAGCCCTCTATCCACGCAAACCTCTATCTGTGCAGCAGGGGCAGGAGGGTGCTGCCAGCCCACCTCGCTCTTGGGGCACTGGTTTTTGCAGCCCCAAAGGCTCAGGGTAGGGATGTGCTGACGGTTCCCTTTGGGGCCCTGCAGCCCCCAGGTGTGGCACAGGGGTTCCCACTCACACGGGGCTGGGTTTTGCAGCGCTGCTGCAGACAGGCAGTACACCTGGCCAGATAAGGATCAGACTGTGCTAGTGGATTAAATTAAACAGCTTTTCTTTCTGTGCCAGCATATCTAACGAGCAGTTCACCTCCCATGGGCGATTCTGCCCTCTTGAGCTGCAGTCAGAGTGTGGCAGGCCTGGCAGAGCCGGCGGCTCTGGCTTTACCATCAGCAGCTCGAGGGAGCTAATGAGGCCTGAAAGGCAACGAGACCTCTGATGATCTCATCCTGTGTTGGTGGAGAGCATTGCTCGGGCAAGGTGCACCTCCTAGAGTTGCAGTTAGTTCATGTTCAGACTTATGCTTTTTCTGTGGGGTGGTCCTAATCTCTCAAATCCAAACGTTGGGTTGAGTTTGTTGTTTCTTCCTACAGCACTAATAAGATATTGCAGCAACAGAGATCTGAGTGTCTGAAACACAGGTTGAAAGCACCCTTGATCTGGGCCCTGCTGGCAGGGCACCGGGGAGCGGCACGGCAGCATTGCTGGGAACAGCAAACTGATGCCAAAGCCCCACTCCCATCCTGCGCAGCCCCCCTGGGTCCGTTCTGCCCTTGTTCTGCTTTCTGTGCCCTCTGCTTGCCGTCTGCTTCCGCCGCTCCAGAGAGCCACCAAGGGACGGCCCCCCCAGCGCCCCGCTGCCCCGTGAGCACAGCTCACCCCCTCTCCATTGCAGGTTCACTCACCCGCTGATGCTGGGCTCCAGCATGCACACCACTGGCATCCCACACCCCGCCATCGTGCCCCACTCTGGCAAGCAGGAGATGGAGCACTACGACCGCAACATGTGAGTTCTGCTCAGGGCTCCTGATCTGTGCTATCAATGTGGAGTCTCACTGGGTGATGCCCATGAATCACTCAGTGACACCGAGTGGTTCTGACACTGACTGCTCCTTTTGTCCCTGCCAAGGAAACCTCAGCCAGAACCAAAGAGAGAGAAGGAAGCCAAGAAGCCCACTATCAAGAAGCCCCTGAATGCTTTCATGTTGTATATGAAAGAGATGCGGGCGAAGGTCATTGCTGAATGCACGCTGAAGGAGAGCGCAGCCATCAACCAGATCCTGGGAAGGAGGGTAAGGGCAGGTGGAGTCCCCAGGGGTTTTGGGGACTGGGGGGACATGCAGACATCTTCGGACGTGAGGGGAGCTGGGAAGAGTTTCTCTCATCGCCCTGATGGAGACCGGGATTTTGGGGGTGTTGGAGGCATTGGGCTGTGAGCAGCTGGTAGGGAGCCCCAAAAGCGGGAGAAAAGGGAAACCTTATACCACAGCAGCAACACAGTGGCTGCAAGGTGCCCTACAAGACCTGTAGCAGCTCCAGTACAGCATCCCCATCCCCGCACCTGCCCTGGGATGCTCTCCCCTCACAGCCTGCAGGGCAGTGTCCCCGTGGCAGGGCAGGCTCAGTGCTGTGCTTGTCCCCGCAGTGGCACGCGCTGTCCCGGGAGGAGCAGGCCAAGTACTACGAGCTGGCACGCAAGGAACGGCAGCTTCACATGCAGCTCTACCCCGGCTGGTCCGCGCGGGACAACTACGTGAGTGATACTGCACCTCGAGTCCCATAGATGTGACCCAAAAATAGCCCAGAAATGACCCACGGGGGGAAGAAGTGGGTGCTGGTTGTCCCTGGTAATGCTGTTTTGGAGGGGATGGTTTGTGTAGAAATACGTGTTTTAGCATTGGTTTGAACATCCCTTTGGCTGCTCCCTGTGGCTCATCTGTGGCACGAATGTCGTAACTGCAGCTGCCACTGTTGCTTAGTGGCCAAGGAAACAGAAGCAGAAAAAAAAGAGAACTTTTAGGTGATGTGAGTGATGTTCGGAGAACTCCGTCTGTTGACAGGAGCATAATAATCGTGGAAAATAAGATTTAAAAATGCTAAATAGGAGAAAAGAAGCTGCTTTGCATGAGATGAGTGCTGAGCTCAGCCTGGTGGGGACTCGGTCCAACTCTGGGACCCCTCATAGGGCTGCATCCCTGGCACTGGGGTCCCTGTGCTGTCCTGCAGGGTGACGGTCACTGAGCCACCACCTGCCCTGCTGGGACATTGGACCCATGGGGCCACCACGACTGAGCAAACCAAGCACATCACGTTCAAAGTATTCAAATGCAGCTGTAGCAAATGCAGACAGCAGCACTGCTTGCTCCGCCGGTTTGCGAGCTGGCCCCAGCTCCTCAGAGAGGCTGATTCCCAAGTAAGGGTGCTGTTAAGAAAATGAGAAATCCACGTTCAAAAGGGGAGAAAAAGGAAAGCTCCTGCATAGGTAGAGAGGGACAGCAGATCGAGGTGCATGCTCTGCCCTTTCTCTGTGCCATGTCCCACCTAGAGATGCAGGGCTGGGCTCCCCAGTGCAGTGCTGAGAAGTCTGCTTCAAGAGAATTCATTTCTTTGCTATGTTAATGGTAGAATAGCAAGGCAATAAGCGAGCTTCCAGTGCTGCAGAAGCATGGGATGCAGCCTTTTCTAGTGGCTTTCTAACTGTTTTGATCTCACATGCAACAAGCCCTGCCTAACAAGCTCGTTGGAGACCTGAGGCAGGGTGCAGAGGGCTGTCAAATATCCACCTGCCGCTGGGCTCTGCTGCTCCATGCAGGGTTCCAGTGGTTCCCTCGCAGCCACATTCTTTGTCTTGGAGCTGTGCTTGGAGCTCTCCTTCAAGCACTGTTCAGAAAGCCCAAAATCCCACAAAATGTCCTCAAATAGCCAGAAATCATAATCAATAATGTCCTTGCTTAATAACTAGCAATAAGTAAATTGCTGGGAGCTCGGCTTCCACGGCAGCTTTGCAGGGTCAGTATTGGCTGAGACCTGGGTTGGCCGTGGAGAATCTGGGGCAGCACCCAAGAATGCTCCTCTGTGGGTATCCCTGGAGGGCAGCAGCAGAGCTGAGAGCCGGGCATCATTGTCCTTCAAGCCAAGTACATCCTCCGTGGAAATCCCATCCCTCCTGCTTCTCTCCTCTTGGAAAGCACCAGGAGGTCTCCTCTCCCGGCCAGCACACACCAGGCTCAGAGCACAGCAGCTCTCCCTGCAGCACTCATGAGCAGCTGCCCCGGGTCGTGGTCACTGCAGGAGCTGCTGTTCTCTCTGGAGCCCCGGCGAGGAGGAGGAGGAGGAGGAATGTAGGTCACCTCCGCCGCACGTGACTCGGTTATTAGGCAGGAAATGCAGTTGCTCCCACGCCGAAGAAAGAGCTCACCGCAGTGCAGAGCTTTCCACCTTCACTCAAACCACAAGAAGTCATACAAAAAGACAGAGGGCAGAGCAGCCCTGTGAGCCACGCTCCCCACGCTGGCCAGATTTGCTCCAGCCCCTCTGTGCCCTCCTCCCTGAGATTGTTGGGGAGGAAATCCGGGGCTAGCACTGTTTTGCTGTTAGGGAGTGAAGAAAATGTGAGAACAAGAAATGAATCCACAGCTGCAGAAGGGCTGAAGTGGGGAGATGGGTATTATTTAAAAAAATGAAAATAGAGGCTTGGGTATTTTTTAAAAGTGCCCAGGGATTTATAAAGCTTCCCCACATGAGGTCGGGGTGCTCTCCTGATGAGGACTTCTGATCACAGCAAGGATCACAGTTCTGCTGCGTTGTGCTGATGTGACCTCCTGCAGTGCTTTGAATGGAGCAGGAGAGCTGGGTGATGTTCAAACCAATGTCCTGCAAGGAGGAGCTGTGGTGTAACTGCATTCAGTAGGCAGGCTGCAGTGTAAACGGGGGGCTCAGCTGGGGGAGGAAAGCTGAGAAGGCAGTGATGCGGCTCCATCTCTGAGTTCCTGCAGATGTATGCATGTGAGCCCTACTGCCTGCAGTGCTGGATGTGGGGACACTCACCCTGGCGGTGGCTTCGGGACTCCCCCGGGTGCATTTCCCAGAGCTCAGACCAGCTCTGCTCAGGGCCCTCTCCATCCCCCGGCACTGGGAGCACAAACTGATGGGCTTTTCCTTGGCTTTCCTAGGGGAAAAAGAAGAGGCGGACACGGGAGAAGCAGCAGGACTCCAACTCAGGTAAATCCTGTGGTGCTGAGCCATGCAGCCCTCGGTGCTGGACACTGTTGGTGCAGAATGGATGATCCCACAAAGTTGTTGTTTTACCACTCTTTGCCATGTCTCCTTTTATTCTTAACCAATGATCTGTGCATTTCATGAGACAGAAAATTAGCATTTCTGTGAGTTTTTCATAGATCAGCTTGCATTAGAACACTAGTAGTTCATGGAAACTGAAAATATGAGATACTGTCAAGTGCTTATCTGCATGAATATATTACTGCTAATTATGCAGAGCATCCAGGTGGGTGCCCCCTACAGCCTGCCCCGGGCTGTCCCTTTGCTGGCTGTGAGCTGGGACCAGCCCTGCCTGTGCTGCTGGGATTGCTGGGATGACACAGCTCAGCTCACACAGCCCCAGTAGTGGCTGTATGATGCCCTCTTTGAGCTGCCCATAAAAAGCAGTTCCAAAAATGTGTCCCAGTAATGGCTTCAGTTTAGTTAGTGCTGTTGATCGCATTCAGTGCCTAGGATGTTGAGAATGCAAGCATTTCAGTGTACATGCAGTGTGTATCTATCATATAAACATACGGCCTGTGTGTGATAGAAAAATACTGATTTCACCCTCTGTGGATGGGAATGCTGCTGCTGATGCCCAACAGCACACACTGCTGCTGGTGCAGGCGGGAAGGTGCCCTTCTGCAGTGCTGCAGTAGGGCTGGAAAAGCAGCGTGTGCCTGAAGGCAGGGCTGCAGGGCAGAGCTGTGCAGCCAGGGCTCATCTCTGCAGTGCCACCTCCGCTTTCCTGCGCTTCTGCAACGTTTCCTCTCCTCTCTGCTGCCCACAGCCCCATTCGCTGGCACCCGGATAGGCCTTGCTGGGAGCAGGTAAGGAGCAGGCAACAGCTCTGTCGCCTGGCAGCTTTCCCAGCCTTTAGGAATGTGGAGGTGTCACAAAAAGATGTGAATTTCCTGGTAGCGTCCTGCAGCTGAGCCGGGTGCTGCTTCTCAACCCCCTTTCCCTGCTGCGATCACTGATTTCATTCATTTATTTATTTACTTCCCTAACGATCACTTTTTTTACAGGAGAAATGGTGCCACCACCATTCTGTTGCAGAAACAAAACTTGGGATTGTAGTCTGTTAGTGGTGTGTTAAGCGGCTGAAATGATGTTGCCTCTTTTCTTCCTCCTGCTCCTCCTCCTCTTTGTGCCTCTGCCTTGCCCATTCTCCGCCACGCATGCTTCTGTGTTCAGATCCTGCCTCTCCTAAGAAATGCAGAGCTCGCTTTGGCCTCAACCAACAAACGGACTGGTGCGGCCCGTGCAGGTGTGTATCACATCTCCACCTCGCGGGGTTCTCCTGGGCTGCGGGTCTGGCCCTGCTTTCTGCTCCTCCGCACACCAGGGATGCTCCTGCAGGGCCCTGTCTGAGCACCCTGGTGGCTGTTGGCCCTGAGCTGCCGTGGGCAATGTCCGTGTGGTGCCGATGAGCATCTCTGGTGTCAAAAGCTTCTTTGCAGGTCTGCCTCTGTGACCGTGGTGTGGGGCTTTCCACCCATTTACAAACACCCCTTGAGGGCTAGTTGTGAGTAGTGAAGGTCTTCGCTAATTCTCCTGAGGTTTTTCCTATTTATCCTAGAGGTAACCATGTATGTTGAGATGCAACTTGTTGGTTTGCAGCACCCAGCATGGAGTGGGAAAACCCCAAGCAAGGAGCTGGTTTGTAAACGTTCCACACCTTGGGTTTCTAGGGCATGACCCCAGAATCAGTGTGCTTATTGCAGCTTGAAGCGGGGGAAATCATTCAGTCCACCCAAATCAAAATCCTGGAGCAAATCCCCAGCAGTTTGGGGTCACAGGTCCCTCATGGCTGATGTGGGCTGAGTGAGGACTGTGCCTCCCAGACCCAGCAGATCACAAAGCCCCACGTATGAGCAAGGAGGTTTAGCTTAGGAATCCTTAGGTTTAGGTTTCCCGTCCCTGCAAACAAGCCCAGGTCAGGCTGAGGTTCTCTGAGCACTGACAGAGCTGTGGGTTTCCCTGCTTATTGTGGGGAGGGGACCAGATAGCCTTAAAAGTCCCTTCCAACCCAGACAATTCCAATTCTGTGACTTCATTTGAACTCTCCTCATTCAGCTTTGGCGCTAACCCTCTGCATTGCTTCCAGTTAACACAGCCTGCTGAGTTTGTAGACCTTAGCATGCTTTTTTATTTAACTTTTGCCTTTCAAATGCTACTCAGTCACATCTTTTCTGCAATTGCTTGTACTAACGGGCTGCTGCCAGTTCAAGGGCTTCTGTCCTCCCTGCAGTGGTTGCAAACACCTGCAGAGAGCAGCTCCCACCTGAGGTTCCCACTCCACAGGACAACAGTAACTGGTGAAAAATGGGTGTTGCAGGTTGGAGGTTTCACCCTTTCACCAGGACAAACTACAGCAGGGTGCTGTAGTTCCTAAAGGACAGGGATACATCCTTTTAGCTGTATAGGAGCCATGCAGGCTTTAGTATCAAATCTGCTGCTTCTCCATCATTTTAAATCAAATTGAATCAACAAATTGATGAATACATTGATAGGTTTCTGTCATCCTACAAGGAGGTCATGGAGACACTCCGTCCTGCAGCTGCTCCTGAATTGCCTGTAGGAAGCCCGGCTCATCCTGGGGCTTGGCTGCTCTGGGAGCTGCAGCCCATGAAGCATTCCGTGTGCCTTTCAGCAGCGCTGTCGTGTTTCATACCGTGTTAATTGGGTCACCCCAGCTAACGATGCCACTGACAGCAGTAATGCCATTTCTCTTGTTCGCAGCCAGTGCAAAGTCGTGTTTAATACTGGGCTACTTAATGCATATTCCATCAGTGTGTAGTTTTTCATTAGTGAGATCAAAGAGAGGTGTGTGCCTGATCAGCCAGCTCGCCATTTGATCCGTTTTCCTCAGCTGAGGCAGCCGAGGCAGGGAGCTGAGCAGAAGGAAGGGGTTTTTTGCCTGTTGTAGCTGTGCTGTTGTTATCAGTGCCTCGAGCAGGGGATTGTTCCCACACCACTGCTAGGTGACATCCTCAGAGCTCTGTGCTTTGGAACTTCCCTGAGCCGCTGCAGAGGATGCAGAGCAGGTGATGTGAGGGGCGCTGGGAGTCACTGCCCCCGGCTGGGCGCTTCTGCAGGAAACCCCGGGCAGCAGAACCCTGCCTGCAGGGCTGTGCCAGAGCTTCCTCTCCCACGTGTGCGGGTGGCATTTTGGCCTTGTGTCTCAGCTTCTGAAGGGGCAGATCACAGCAAGCACGTCAGCCCACAGAAGCCATGGATGGCTTTCTGGATGGGTGGAGGTCAGAGGCTTTTGCTGCAAAGAAAAGCAGCCGAGCAGACAACGTGCTGCACACAAGGCTAGGGCCAGGGTAGGAAATGTGCTGCAGGTAGAAACGCTCAGAAGAGTTCGGGTCCTTCGGGTCGACGTGCTTCTCTTTAGGAAGACAGCGAACAGACGGTGCGGAGCGCAGCGTGGCGGCACGGCCTGACCGGGCACCGCTCCACGGCCGCGTCCCGCAACGCGGCGCAGCCAACGGCGGGATGGCGGCACGGCCGGAGCGCTGCTGCCGCCGCCGTTATGGCGCCCCCTCGCGGGCGCCGCCGCTTCACACCCACACGCGGCCGATCTCCGCGCTGCGGCTCCGCGCCGTTCCGCTCCTCGCCTCCCCCGCGCTCTGCTCGGCGTTTTGTGTGTGACCGTAAACTCACCCTTCATTTACAGATAACTCTCTTCACTGTTCATAGGAGGAAAAAGAAGTGCATTCGGTACTTACAAGGAGAAGGACGCTGTGCCAGCCCAGTTTCTTCCGATGGAAGTGCTATAGACTCCCCTCCCTCCCCCCTGGATGCACTCCAATGCATATCCTCTGCTTTCCCTTCAGACAAGCTTGCAGCCCCCGCAGACTCCACACACAGAGAACGCACCGACCCCCTCCCGGTCTCTGCTCCCATCACAGCTGCTGCCTGCTCCTCCAGACCCAGCACCGGGTGCTCTCCTGCGCCCGCAGAGCCCTCAGCCTGCAGCGTGGCTTCCACGGGGACGTAGTCCCACCCCCACCCGTGTTTGCTGAGACACTGTGGGCACTTTGCTCTCCCACTGAAAAGGACCGGAGGCCCGGCCCAATTCCCCCGCAGTTAGGCAACAGAACGATTGGAGGATGCTGGAAAACATTTGACCCTTTGGGGGGAGGGTGGTGGTTAAAGATAGCAAAGTGATTTTTAAAAAGGTTAAGGAAAAAAAAAAAAAACACAACAAAACTTGCCAAAATTTGAAGTCTGATGAGTAAATAAGCCTTTTGTCCCTGCCCTGTGCTGCTTTCTTGTTTGTTGGGGGCTTTTCTTTTTTTTACTGCGTTATCTGTGAGTGTGGCAGAAAGCAAAGAGAGATCCCCAGCTTGCTGCAGTAGGTGGTAGGTGCTCTAAATCTGACACTGGCTTCCGTGTCCTGCCTTCTGAGCTGCTTTAGACTGTAGTCCTCCTGTAGCTGTTATACCACAGGGCTGGAAAAGCTGGAATAGGAGCCTTTTGTAAAAGCCCTTGTGTCTGAAAATGAAATGTAGCGATGCTAGCTTTCCGATCCGACTGGATGATAGGGAAATATTTAAACTAATGAGATGTATTTTTTAAACTTCTTGTTTGAGAACAGGAAGGCACTGTTTACAGGTAATAGTCTCTGTGCAGACACGTTGAATCCCATCAGTGTGTGGCAGGGCAGAGCATTGCTCCCCACGTCAGCCCGGCGCAGGGTCTCCCTGCTGTTTTACTTTGGGTGCTGCAGATTCAGACAGCAGGAATTGCCCTGCAGTGGGCTGGGAGAGCCTCAAAAAGCCTCCCCTTAGCTCAGCACACACGAGGAGCGCGTAGGGCAAGCACACAGCCTGACTGAGGCACTCAGGAGCCCGGCGCTCCATCTCAGGAGCCAGGCTGAGGCCGGGCTGCAGGAAGGAGCTGAGCCCCGCGCTCCGCTGTGCAGCCCGGAGCAGCAGCGCCCTCCCTGCCCCCTGCTCACAGGCTCTGCTTACCTCTGCAACATCAAAAACGTTTCTTGCTGATTTGGTGTCTAACTTTTTAAAGAACTCACCTGAGCTTTTTCTAACAGATCTCCCTCACCCCTCGCAACCAGGCCAAACGTGCAGGCATTCTCTGCAGCCTGAGAATGTTTACCAGGTTCTGGTATCTTGTTATTTGTGGACAGATTCTGATCCCCATAAGCTGACGTAAATCCCAACTGAACCAAATGCATTGATTTTCTCTATGTTTACACACTTGGCACACAGACCAGAGCCCGGTCCGGTGCGTATTTTTTCCTGCTTGAAAGAAATGTATTTTAGACTGCTGAAGAGAAAAAGAACACCAGGCTGAGGGGGAGAGGGGTCTATCTTTTTCTACTTTACAGAATAGGTTTTAGAGTACTGACTACAAATTACGTAGTAATATTATTGTAGAACTGCAAGAAATTTAAGATGACCTTTATAATGTAAAAAAATATTTTTATATTTTTTTTTCTTAAAACGAAAACCCGGATTTTTTTACATTGGACTCAACTTTTTAAAACAAGTTTATGCATCAGAGATTGAAAATTAAAAAAAAAAAAAAAAAAAAAAGACCACTGATTAGTCTATAGAGCATCTCTGGGTTTATTCTCCTAATTTAGGTACTTTTGCTTATAGTAGTGTAGGCCTTTGACTCGTTTTAGTTTAGAAGACCCAAACTTACTGCTTTATTCCTCTTCTGTGTAAATGTAACTTGAGAAGCACTGACTGGAAGCGACGTGCACAGAGCTGTGCGAACCCTCAGAGAAGCAGCATCACCTGCAGTGCCCGCCAGCTGCACACGCTGCACTCAGGGTTCGCGATGCAGCCCTTGCTCACACACCATCCGCTCGTCTTTAAGTTATTTCAGCAAGCACAGCAACTCAGCCAGCCATTCCCAGACCTGGCACAGACTCTTCTGACCAGCCATTATAAATATAAACCTTAAAGAAAGCTTTGTCTCAGCTCGCCGTCCTTCACTGATCTGATCACCCTCTGCCGTAAGGCCAAGTGGCAACTGCTGTAACAGCCTCAGCTGACAAAAGGGCCGCGCTGCGCCCAGCAGTGGGCAGAACTGGGTGTAAAGCTGGCACAACGTAATACCTGGTTGGTGTTCGTGGTTGGATGAAATGTGGCTTAGCAGCAAAGATGGGTATAAAGAAAAACCAGGCGCCTCTAAGTAACACCAGAGGAAATCTAAGGGAAAGTCCTGACCAGCATTAAACTGCGTGTTGTGACCAAGGACCAAGTAGCACTAAGCAGCCCTCATTCATTTCAGGCTCGTTAGGACTTCCTTCCTCTATTTCAAGGCTGCTCACAGCCCCCCGTGGTGCCCGCGCCTCGCTCAGGGCACGCTGACAGGAAAAGGCCCACCTGTGTCACAGCCTCCTCTCAGCACCGCCATTCCATCCGGTCCTGCAGTCTTGGTGACACCTGCCTTCCCTCCTGCAGAGCCTTCCCTCGTGCATCCATGCAGCGGCGGGCGCTCGTGCAGCTCACAGCACACAGCAC